CTACTTTAAAGAGTCCTCTCCTGCTGATGTTCAGGTGTATATCAGTATGTAGTGTCTCTAGTTTAAAGAGTCCTCTCCTGCTGATGTTCAGGTGTATATCAGTGTGTAGTGTCTCTACTTTAAAGAGTCCTCTCCTGCTGATGTTCAGGTGTATAGCAGTATGTAGTGTCTCTACTTTAAAGAGTCCTCTCCTGCTGATGTCCAGGTGTATATCAGTGTGTAGTGTCTCTACTTTAAAGAGTCCTCTCCTGCTGATGTTCAGGTGTATATCAGTATGTAGTGTTTCTACTTTAAAGAGTCCTCTCCTACTGATCAGGTGTATATCAGTATGTAGTGTCTCTACTTTAAAGAGTCCTCTCCTGCTGATGTTCAGGTGTATATCAGTATGTAGTGTCTCTACTTTAAAGAGTCCTCTCCTGCTGATGTTCAGGTGTATATCAGTATGTAGTGTCTCTACTTTAAAGAGTCCTCTCCTGCTGATGTTCAGGTGTATATCAGTATGTAGTGTCTCTACTTTAAAGAGTCCTCTCCTGCTGATGTTCAGGTGTATATCAGTATGTAGTGTTTCTACTTTAAAGAGTCCTCTCCTGATGATGTTCAGGTGTATATCAGTATGTAGTGTCTCTACTTAAAGAGTCCTCTCCTGCTGATGTTCAGGTGTATATCAGTATGTAGTGTCTCTACTTTAAAGAGTCCTCTCCTGCTGATGTTCAGGTGTATATCAGTATGTAGTGTCTCTACTTTAAAGAGTCCTCTCCTGCTGATGTTCAGGTGTATATCAGTATGTAGTGTCTCTACTTTAAAGAGTCCTCTCCTGTTGATGTTCAGGTGTATATCAGTATGTAGTGTATCTACTTTAAAGAGTCCTCTCCTGCTGATGTTCAGGTGTATATCAGTATGTAGTGTCTCTACTTTAAAGAGTCCTCTCCTGCTGATGTTCAGGTGTATATCAGTATGTAGTGTCTCTACTTTAAAGAGTCCTCTCCTGCTGATGTTCAGGTGTATGTCAGTATGTAGTGTCTCTACTTTAAAGAGTCCTCTCCTGCTGATGTTCAGGTGTATATCAGTATGTAGTGTCTCTACTTTAAAGAGTCCTCTCCTGCTGATGTTCAGGTGTATATCAGTATGTAGTGTCTCTACTTTAAAAGAGTCCTCTCCTGCTGATGTTCAGGTGTATATCAGTATGTAGTGTCTCTACTTTAAAGAGTCCTCTCCTGCTGATGTTCAGGTGTATATCAGTATGTAGTGTCTCTACTTTAAAGAGTCCTCTCCTGCTGATGTTCAGGTGTATATCAGTATGTAGTGGTCTCTACTTTAAAGAGTCCTCTCCTGCTGATGTTCAGGTGTATATCAGTATGTAGTGTCTCTACTTTAAAGAGTCCTCTCCTGCTGATGTTCAGGTGTATATCAGTATGTAGTGTCTCTACTTTAAAGAGTCCTCTCCTGCTGATGTTCAGGTGTATATCAGTATGTAGTGTCTCTACTTTAAAGAGTCCTCTCCTGTTGATGTTCAGGTGTATATCAGTATGTAGTGTATCTACTTTAAAGAGTCCTCTCCTGCTGATGTTCAGGTGTATATCAGTATGTAGTGTCTCTACTTTAAAGAGTCCTCTCCTGCTGATGTTCAGGTGTATGTCAGTATGTAGTGTCTCTACTTTAAAGAGTCCTCTCCTGCTGATGTTCAGGTGTATATCAGTATGTAGTGTCTCTACTTTAAAGAGTCCTCTCCTGCTGATGTTCAGGTGTATATCAGTATGTAGTGTCTCTACTTTAAAGAGTCCTCTCCTGCTGATGTTCAGGTGTATATCAGTATGTAGTGTCTCTACTTTAAAGAGTCCTCTCCTGCTGATGTTCAGGTGTATGTATGTAGTGTCTCTACTTTAAAGAGTCCCTCACCTAGAGTGACCACCATGACGGGGATATTGAGTCTCTGTCTCGTGCTCTGCGACAGACGCAGGAAGCCGTACTCCAGAGAATATTCCACGATGTATTCCTCCTGAGGCCAAACTGAAACACAACAGAATATTTATTATTATCATCATAATCCTCAACGTGTTTTTTATAAACCACCATCTTTGTTTTAAATGTCCAGAGGCTAACTAAGAGATAACTTTATTTTCTCCTCATAGCATTGAAGCACCTTGAGATGACGTTGTTTTTAAAGTGTGCTATAGAGAGGCGAAGTCCCTCCCTTTCCTCCATGGGACCTTATTTCTGAAAAGCATGCATTGAAGTCAATGGAGAGAAAGATTATCGTTCGATCCCGTTTGAACTGAGCCACGAATTACACGTATGATGTTTGTCGATTTAAAAGATCATTTTGCAAGTCAAAAAAATAAAACTGTGAGGTAACACTTTGTTTGTGTGAAACGCTCAATGAACTGCATCTCCCGTCTCGCACCACACACCCAGACGGCCGTCACGTTGGAACATTTCACTTCTTTCTCTCAGAACGAGGTGGAAAGTATTAAAAGAGGTGAAAATCACTCCAAGTCTGGGCACGTTGAGAGCTGTGCATACACACACAAGGGGAGTGAGTCGGTTCCTAAGAGCCAGCATGCGGGACCGGGACTCTGGGATTTGTAGTCTTTCTAGTTGCGTATTTTTCATAGTCTTTTATTTCAACAGTTTTACAACAAACTGACTTTTTTGACATGAAAATGATTTGTTAAGATTGACAAACATCATGTGTGTAATTCGTGGCACAATTCAAACGGGATCGAAAGATACGGTTTCCCTCTCCATTGACTTCAATGCATAATGTTTCAGAAATAGGGTCCCATGGGGCGGAAGGAGACGGGCGGGACTTCGCCTCTATATAAATGAAATGTATTATTATTGTTGTTAAAGAGCCTCTGCTGCCCCCTGCTGCCGAGGAGGAGAAACCCCTCTTTACAAACAACTGATGGAAAGCTATGGAGGTGGATCTGTCTCAATAATATGAACAGATCAATTATCTGTGTGTAAATGTGTAATCTGTGAATGTAAATCACCTTCAGAAAGTGCAAGAACAAATGTGCAAACGTAAAAATAATCTGCTAAACTAATCCAACAAATTAAAAGGAAATCTGTGAATACTAAAATGGATTTACTAATAAACAAAAAGCATGTGTGGATATCCTTCTAACATTTACAACTTTCCAGACATTTGTTAATCAAGTTAATTGATCTGAATTCTGTGTTAATTGATCTGAAATCTGTGTTAATTGATCTGAATTCTGTGTTAATTGATCTGAAATCTGTGTATCTGAATTCTGTGTTAATTGATCTGAATTCTGTGTTAATTGATCTGAAATCTGTGTATCTGAAATCTGTGTTAATTGATCTGAAATCTGTGTTAATTGATCTGAAATCTGTGTTCATGGATCTGCTTTTAAACACAGAAGATATT